CTTCCACTGTGCGATTCATAGAGCGCGTTTTCGGGTATTTTCTCGGGTATATGGTACTCTTGAAATTTTTTTTATAAAGGTTTATAGAATATATTTCAAAAAAAAAAATGTATTCAAAAAAGAAGTAATATATATTCGAAAAACAGAATTTTTTCAAAATTTATAATTTTTTTATATTCAGGAAAAAGGTTCAAAACTTTTGCTTTTTTACATTAGTATTGAAATAGAAGAAAAAATCAACACCTATCACACTTTTTTATTAAAGAAAGGAATATAATTTAATTAATAACAATTTAATTTAATATTCTTTGAAAATAAATTCTTATGCCAATTGAACTAAAATCACCACTTCGAGGAAGTTATTTCAGTCAATTCTGTCCATAAAAGAAAATTCGCTCAAGAAGTTGAAGACTACACCTCAGCAGGATTATGAAAAATGGATAAAGATCAAACAGCCTTTCAAACAATAATATATATTTTGTTTGCAAATTTTTTTTTTTATTATTATGACAATAAAATATATTCCATCTCCATAAAAAGTGTACAAAAATTTTTTATTTGTTTTAATTTAAGTAACTCCAACCTTTTTATACATATGTATCTATTATTAGTAAAGAATAGAACAAAATTGAAAATATTTCTTATATATTAGTTTTTATAGTCAGTGTAAATTGGAATCAAATAAATTTGGGCGGATGCTGTACTGCTGTATTGTAAATTATAATTTTAAAAAATAGTGATGTCTTTCTCCATGCAAAAATCTACAGATCTTTAAAAATTATTTTGTCGCTTGATAAATTTTTAATTTATTTCGTCTAGTTCCCATTAGTCTATTATAGAATCAATTTAACTCTAAAGTTTCTGCAGTGTCATGCTGACAAATCACTTAAAAATATAAAAAATGTGTATTTTGTAAAAATATTAAATAAAACACAGTAAGTAGTTTTGCAAATATATTTAACAAAAGTTCCATAAATAAAAATTTTGTTTGGAATAAAAATTTTGTCTATTATTTTAAACAGAGTTTTACATATATATATCATTTAACTTAAATTATAAGTAATTTCTGCTTCAAAAGTATATAATAAAAATCTGTGAGTAAGCGAAAGGCAAACGAATTTGATCACAAACCAAATTTTATTTTATTGGATCAAATTAAATTTAATTTAAAAAACTCTCGTAACTCGAAAATGTTGAAATAACGTGACTAACATCACAAACTATTTTCATAACTCCTCCAATAAAAGAAGTGGTGAAATGTGTAAGCTCTCCAAATTCTAACAAAAATTTTAATCTATTTTTATACTAAATAAAATACAAAAAGCGAAGCCATGAGGAGCAAAGTAAAAGTACTCCGACTCACTATAGTAATAATATATTCAGTGTAATAAAACCACAGAGATAAGAATTAAAAAATTCATTTGAAAAACATTTGTAGTTCTAGTGACGAAAAAGGGAATAGTTAAGTAATACAATTAAAAGATAATACTAGACACTGACTAGCGTTTTGGTTTGGAAGAGGGACGTGTGACACAAGCCCATAGTATGTTATCAATAGAGTTTTTTTTTATAAATAAAACTAATTTATTCACTACATCAGTACTAATGTCAATAGTCACAAAATCGACACTAAAAGTCATTATCAGCAAAAACACCAACAACGGTTACAGCAAAATTATGCAGAATAGGAACTTGAAGACTGAAGAGACAATTTAGGTTCTCAAATAATTGCATTCTCAAATTCAAGTTCTCCACATTTAGTAAAATAAATTACAAATTTGTTCTCAGAATATATTAAGTGGAACCGAAATTGGCACTCTCGGTCCTTTGAGAGTTTTTTACGACCGTTTCAAGCGCCCACTTGTTGTTTAATATGATATTTATATATTATTACCCTACAGTAAGTATAATGAATACTTTACAAACAACAAAATAATAGTTTTTAAACTTACAATCGCAGTGTTCCATTAGCAAAGTGCGTCGGTTAATGTAATTTTATCTAACTTATGCAAGTTCTTAAGCATAAACTGTCAACTAAGACATCATGGCTAAATAATAAGACTCGTAAAAGCTTAAAAACGCAACTTTTTTAAGTTTTATATAATATATATATACTAAGCAGAATTAGTTTTTATTTCAAAAAACTTTAAATATGAAGCAGTTAATACACTTGAATGCATAGATGCTTTATAACATAAAAGTCAAGGTACTGTTTTATTCGTAAGCCTCTACAGACTTAACGAATCAAGCGTTGAAAATATGATTTATAACATTCTCAAGTCGAAGACCAGGAGTGACAAGGCATGGTATTTAAAAAAAGTGATTAAAACAATTAAATAATTCCATGATTTGATTAGGTAGGTATTAATATTTTTACATTCCAGGACCAGCTTGCCAAGGCAGGCACTATGTTTCCTGATATTCACTTCTAGATATTAGCGTCCCACTTGCAACAATTAAACTTGCGATCAAACCAAAATATCTGAGCATTGCCAAACAAAATTCGAGAGACGAACAGAATTCTCTTATCAGATTTCCAGATTGCCTTTGTCAGATTTCCAGATTTCCTATGTTAGACAAACTAAACACAGCAGACAACTTGCTACTGGTTACCTTGCTTCAAGTAAGATGTAACCCGCTCAGTACTACGGTATAGATGCTGACCGGTCACTGGGTAATAGGAAGACATGCTATAAAACTGGGTCTAATTCATAATGACTTCTGTCTTGGTCGTAGTTCTAAGAAGGAAACTGTGGTGTAAGTGTGTAAAGCATAAAAAGGTGCTATTTTGTTTTTCCTCTTATTACTCTAAAATTGATAGCATACAAGATATATTTATCTAAATAATATTTTCGCTAGAAAACTCGATCGATGTTTAGGCATCGACCTATTTGATTTATGTGATATAAAACAAATAATTATAAATCCTTCATTTTAAAATTCAATTATATATTCTAAAAAAATAATTTTTATTTTTTTGTCACTTGGGTTACGAGACACAATAACACTTTGTAATAAAGATCTTAAACACTAGTCACTCGGCTTAAAATCAAAATCTATTCTTTGTTTGCTATTCACTAATAACTCATTTAAATCAGATTATTTGCTTTATATTTTTAATCACTTAGTAATACACATTTTTAAGTCCAAGCATTCATTTATTCGAAATTCATTTGAAATTCATTCGTTTGTGTAAGAAACTTATTATATATGAACAAATTCACGGAAGCCCAAATTTTCTTCAATGTAGTTTTCTACTATATGCAGTTACAGTTTAATATTGCACGTTAAAGTATTTCATGATTTAAATAGTAATATAAACATACTATACGTATTAATAATAATCTGGGTATCTCATTTCAACTGTATGTCCTTTGTTACACCAAGATATATAATTTCCGTATCAACTACTTCATTTATAAGACACCTTAACCTCAATAATTCGAATCGATTTAGTAGGATATGGACATATAAACGCCTTCTTAAGCAGTATCTTCTCTAGCGTATGAATAATATATCAAGCATATTAAAATAGATGATTAAATTGATATTTGTTAAGTGTCCATATAAACAAAGAATACTTCTTCATACTAACTTACTTTGTATCTTATTGCATCATGGAATAATTTGCAATTTTTTCTTGTCATATTTAACTTTAATATTATTTATAGTAATATTTGCATTTTATTTTATCATGTTTAGCTTTAATGTTATTTTTAGTAATATTTTTATATTATTCTATTGTAGATATTTCTATTCAATCATCCAATATTATTTTAATGTCATTTTTTGCAATGGATTTGAATATATCAGCATAAAAGAAAATTATTCAAGATCCACTGAAACATTATATATAGTATTATTATTCCAATCATAATGAGAATAGATATATAGCATTCGATGAAGATGATGAACTTGACATTGAAATTTCATTACTATTATTATCAACATTTGCACCCGATAATTACCATTTTGCAATTTTTTAGGATAGGTATATTATACTAATCCTACAGACTTTAGAAATAAGTGTGTGCTTATCTTGCACTTGTTTGCATGGATTTTATGTGGATTTTGT